CAGTAAGCCAGAAAGGCACTGGGTGGGAGAGAAACTGTTATTTGATAGGCAAGGCTTGTAGAGTTCTGGTCATGCCAGTCGGACAGGGCAGGTGCTCTTATTACCTGCATTTTCCTGATAGGGCAGTGAGGCACAGGGAAGTTGAGTAACGTGTCCCAGTCACCATATGGATCCGCAGAGGAGTTGGGATTCACACACAGAACACGATTCCAACCCCTCTTCACACTCCCAGCACCGCACTGCCTCTTAGAAGCGGGGTAGAGCCCTGACTGTGAAGCCCAAGGGCCCAGCCACATCTCAGCAGGTTCGGGCCCATTTCCCAGGCGGACCACACAGTGCATGTGGGCTCTTGACGCACCCCAGCCAGATGCTCTGAATCACTGTCACCACAACCTTCCATCTGGCCCTTCCTGTCACCTCCTGGAAGTTGCAGGAGCAGCACGGGAAGGGGCTGTCTAAGAAGGACACGCTCCCTCACCAGCTCATCCAACCATGCTGCCAGGCTCCACACTTAGAAGGGAAGCTCCTCCCACCGAGCTGCCAGACCCAAAGCTCCTAAGAGTATTCTCAGAGCCTGGCACTGAAAGGGCGCTCATTTTGTTAGCAAGTCCCGTTGCCACCTCCAGTGTTCTGAATGGGGCCCAGCCCTTCTGCGGTCACACTAGATGGTGCGAGAAAGCCAGAGACCTAGCAGGATAAGAGCGCGCAGTGGTCTTCCCTGTGAGTCCTGGGCCCTCGTCTCCACAGTGGGAGCGACAGATAGCCTGTTAAATTCACTGGTTGCTGAAATTATATCAGCAGCGGTCATTGCAGTAGGCTGAAAAGTGGTGCCTCAAGATGCCGATGTCTGAATCCTTGGAAGCTGTGCTCTTTTATGGAAGAGGAGAGTATGCAGACCTCCAGCCCTTGCGTGGTGCTCCTGTGGATGTGATGTCACCATCCAACTCCCTGCCCTTCGCCTCTGTCCTCTCCTGTGGATGTCAGACTGGGGGTAGTTGTCACTTATTTCTTTCTCTCCATACCCCATTGGCACCTGTCACCACTTCCTGTGGTGTTGGCTCCCCGTCTGGGCTCCTAGCGTGGCACGACGAGAATGACAAGAGTCAGGCTGCACCTATTCTAGCCTACAGCCGATGGAGCTGACCCTAAACGACCACAGTCACCATGACAGTTGTGGCACTGAGCATGCCTCAGTTGCTCTGCCACACGTGTGTTATCCTGGTGACCACCCCTCGACAGCGTTCCTAGTGTCACCACTCTACACAGCTTCTCTCCAGTCACCCAGATGGCAAGAGGCGGAGGAAATGAGTGTCTGACTGCGGGCCTGCAGCTGTGGAGCGGAGCATGGTCTATTTACCTGGAACTACCGCCAGGTCAAAGTCGACCCGTGAACAGAAGCCTCAAAACTGCATTTCCAGGGAGGAAGTGCACAGAGGAGCAAAACTCAAGTGACACAGTCCCAAAAGAAAAAATGAAGGCATTTTTGCAGAGTCCACCACCACGGTGGCCCAGCTGGGATAGATAAGAAACTTCGAGGAGAGGGCCACAGGTGCTTGAGGAAAGGATCCCCCCGCCCCCGCCGCTTCCCTCAGTGTTGTCATGGAACTGTGTTTTTTTAAGGAAGTGAATTTTAATCTTAGTCCTAACCCTGTAGCCGGGGATAATAGCTGAAATACTTGGGTGCCTGGACAGTACAGACAGCGGTCAGTCAGGGCAGGCGCTGGGCTGGCTTTTGTTAGCTCCCTGGCTCCTGAGGAAGAGAAAAGTCAAAGCTGACCGTGACAGGGCTGTGGGTGCCACCACTCTACCAAGCTCAGAAGTGGTGTCCTGGCCAGCATCCATGGACCAGGCTGAGGCGGAGAGAAGGGATCATACTCACGGTGGTTCTCTGGTGAGCTGTGGGCCCTGCAGTGGAGACCCAGGATCAGCAACCCCCACCCTGTGACTGCTGCTCTGCAGGATTTGAAAACCAGTGTCCTTGCTCTTCCAGCCCTACCCTGCTGTGCCCCAGCCCCTCAGGAAGACCAGAAGGTCACCTTTGCAGGGTGAGGTCACTTCCCCAGCCTCCTCTTGCTCTTCCCCAACAATATCACACCCCACCCCTACCCTACCGCCAAGCAACCTTCCTGGGGCTGCTAGGCCTAAGGTGCTACAGGACAGGACACAGAGGGCAGGGACAGAGACCAGGAGAAGGTTTGTGCCTTTGAGCAACCCCTTCCCCCGCACCCCCCAGGCCCTGGCAACCATTCTTCCTTCCATGCTCCACTTCTGGGAGGCTGCCTGCTTCAGATTCCTCATTTGAGTCAGATCATGCAGTATCTGTGCGGCTGTGTCTGGCTTATGTCACTTAGCATAATGTCCTCTGGGTTTATCCATGTTGTCGAAAGTGACAGGCTGTCCTTTTTAAAATTGGAAAAATATTCCAGCATGGTGTGTGTGTGTGTGTGTGTGTGTGTGTGCACGCGTGCGCATGCGTGCATGCGTAAACCACATTTTCTTTATCTACTCATCTGACAGTGGACATTTAGGTTATTTTCAGAGCTTGGCTATCTTAAATCTCACCACAAGAAAGTGAGAGGGAAAGGAGGGATAAGGGATTGAAGGGATAAGGGAATGAGAGAGAGGAGAAGGAAAAAGTGGTGTGTGTCTGGGAGGTAATGTATTAATTAGTGATTTTTTAATCAATTAATTAATGATTTTGATGATTATTTTACAGTCTTTATGTATATTGAAACATTAATTATATACCTAAAATGCATAGGACTTTCATTTTTCATTACACCTCAGTAAAGCTGAAACAAACCCAGGATGCTTGGCTTTCAGGAGGCTCTGCTGGAAAAGCCCACAGTGGGTGCAGCGGGTGGAGACCAGGCCTCTCCTGCCAGGCTGATCGGCTTAGGTTGTAGATCTCATCCCTTTGTAGGATGAAAAGAATCATCTCTCTGTAGGTAAAAAATAAAAGAAATGGTGTGCGTAAAATACTTAGTCATTCCTGACATTCTCAAAGTTTCTTTCATCTACATAGTTGTTAGTCAGAAACCCTCAAGCCAGTGGACATAAAATTTGGTCATTCATTCTCCTGACACTCACTTGAGTCAAAGTCTTTGACTCGTTTTCCCTCTTTATTGTTGATTTTTTAAAAGTCTTTTTTTGTTTTAAAGCGTGTACACAGGAAGTCTTATTTTAAACTGCCTCATCATATTTGAAACAGATACAGTTTAAAAACCTTAAAAGAGGCCATTGTGAGTTTGAAGCCAAGCCTGAACTACACAGCAAGACTCTGTCTCAAAAAACAAAATAACAAAAATACAAAATAAAGAAATCTTTCTTCCAAGCTACATGTAAAATGCATATGTATGTATATTTGAGATTCAATGTTCTGATATTAGCAATAAGCCCAAATGACGCTGTTTGCATTATTGCTGTGGCATGTGGAAGAGGCATGAGGGTAACTCATGTGGTCACAACTTCGTTGCTTATCCTAACAAGCGCAGGAGTTGCAGAAACAAAGGGAAAGCGGGCTGTGGACCGCCCCGCATTCCCGAGCCAAAGCTAGAAGCAGATACCTGGGCAGATGCTGGGTGTGGCTCATGGTACCTCCATTGTCAACCACTGACAGGAGGTCAGGGGTGCAGCCTGGCCTGGGCAGGATGTTATCCAGCCCAAGGGGACACGCAGACAGCATGCTAGCAGCTCTAGCTCTTAACAGGTGGTGCGATCTGCAGGTGGCACACTGTTTTTTATGTTTTGATTTTCTCATGTGTAAAATGAGCAGTCAGTGTTCACTAGGGTTCTTTAAAGCTTTTTGTTGTTGTTGTTTGTTTGTTTGTTTGTTTGTTTGTTTTGTCTTTTTAAAACAGAGTTTCATTATGCAGTTCTGGCAGGCCTTGAACTCACTTTGTAGCCCTGTCTGGCCTGGAACTCACGGTGCTCCTCCTGCCTCAGCATCTTGGGCGCTGGGATGACGGGCATGCGCCACCGTGCCCAGCTGCGCTGCTTTGTATTCTGACCCCTGTCATTCAACAGAAAATAGCTGTATATTTACTGTTGCAAGAACAATACTCTATAGTAATTAATGATGCTTTGGAAAGCTGTTAATTTTCATCCAGAAAAAGTTAACAATTTTTAATAAGAACATAGATTGACAATTAACACTGAATATTATAAAATACGTTGACTAGCAGGGGCTATAGCTCAGTGGCAGAAGCGCCTGCTTGGCAAGCACAAGGTCCTGAGTTCGATTCCTGGTACCAAAAAAAAAACCAATACCCTAACTAGATATTTTTAGGATAGTATATCATTTTTAAACCAATACACATTTGGAAAAAATAAGTAATAATACATAGGAAAATAATGGAGAATATAATTCATTGTAAATCTGATCTTTTTAGAGTCATATGGGGCAATAAATTTGTAACATTAAACAAAACAACTTATAATAATTATATTAAATTTTCAGTAATTTACCTCCATTTAGTCCATAATGTCTGTTTCTCAGCAGGATTTGGTTGAAATTAAATCTCTGTTTAGAATTGTAAACGTGCGGCACAGCGGAACCCACATGGCTGATCGAGGCTCACAGAACTGAAATGGCCAACTTTCACCATTTACTCAGATGTTCAACAGTAAAGTGCAGTTACACTGTTTTAATCAAATGTTAGATTTGTTTTTGTGTCACAGCATTCATCGGTGCTCCGTGCCCCGACCCTGTCTTTCATGCACTTTCTGTGTATTATTACTAACAGCCTTCAGGCCACGGGGGTTTGTGCGCCTGGGTGGAGGAAGGAACCCCTCATCTTCCTCCTCCGCTCCTCTTCCCCGGGGAGGCCCACGAAAGGCCAAGGTTCACAGCCCGTGTGGACTGAGAGCTGAGCAGGGTGCTGCCAGAGCTGGTCCCAGGATGTGTGGTTTTGTGGCTCTGCCATGGCAGGAAACTGGGGACACGGGAGTGAGGGTGGAAGGGTGACCTGTCTCGTGTGTCCTCTCCCTCCACCCCGCAGTTCGTGAAGTTTGCCAACATCGAGGAGGACACGCCATCCTATCATCGGAGCTATGACTTCTTCGTGTCCCGGTTCAGTGAAATGTGCCACTCGAGCCACGATGACTTGGAAATCAAGACAAAGTAAGTACAGGAAGCCGAGGGGTCTGCATGGCTCCTGAGAAAGCACTGAGGGTCTCAGAAGACGACCTGTCTCAGCAGGCATGGTGGTGCACACCTGTCATCCCAGCACCTGGGAAGCTGAAGCAGGAGGATCGGAAGTTCAAACCCAGCCTGGGCCAGTTAGCAACTTAGCAAGACCCTGAAAAGGGGGACCCAGGATGTCCTAGCTCTGTGTGAAGGCTCTGGGTTCATTCCCCAGTCATGAAAAGAATGGGTGGCTGTCTGCTTTCACTGACCTTTCCTGTCCTCCATGTCAGTGAGTATGGAGGTGCAGGCAGTGCTCTGCTCCCAGCCCATGGTTCCCAGGGAAGAACCTTTGGGGCCAGAAAACAAGGCTGGATGTAAGGTAGCGGTCCCTTGCGCCCACTTTCAGAGCCAGGGACAGAACACACGCACACCCCAGTCAGAAGTACATGCATGTACTCGGCAGAAGCAACCATCCACGTTACATGCCAAGCCCTCACACTGGCCGCCACTGCCTACCTCCTTCCATCTCCTCCTCCACTGGCTCACTGCCTCCAGCCAGGACATCTCAACAGGGCAGGGACCCTCCTGTCCCAGGGCTTCTGCAGTCCTACCCTGCTCTCCCCTAACCCTACTCTATAGTACTCATTTCCTTTCAAAAAGCTTCATAATTTTCTTTTTTTTTTTTAATAACTACTATTATTACTATTTTTGGCAGTATCAGGGCCTTCACACTGAGCTGTATTCTCAACCTCTTTTTTATTTTTATTTTTTTATTTTTTTGGTTTTTCTCTGGTACCGGGAACTGAACTCACGACCTTGCGCATGCCAGGCAGGCGCTTTTGCCGCTGAGCTAAATCCCCAGCCCTATCAACCTCTTTTTTAATTTAATATTTTATTTTGAGACAGGATCTTGCCCAATTGCCCAGGCTGGCCTCAAACTTGTGATCCTCCTGCTTCAGCCTCTCAGAGAGCTGGGATTATAGGTGTGCTTCACCATGCCTGACTCTGCTTCGTATTCATCACCTCTCCCCACTAGAGTGCAAGTGCTAGAAGGTCAGGAATCCTTTGGTGCTGGGACAACTCTAAGAACAGCAGACAAGGGACATATATTTGTAAAGTGAATGACTGAGTGAAAGCTTTCAGATAAACATCTTGAATCAGAGAAAACACTTGCGTGTCCACATACTCAAATTTGTAAAAACATTTAACTCGCAGAATTATATTCATACAGAAGCCTTGCAAATAAAATCACAAAGCACTAAGACAAAGCTGACACCAGTGTACAGAGCGTGGCCCGTAGGGAGTGGGCCGAGGTGATCTGCACCAAGCGTGGTGCTTGGAACCGTGGGGTGCAGAGGCAGGTTTCAGCATACAAAGTGTGACCCTGCAGAACCAGGTTCCAGAGAAGGGACAAGGCCAGTGCCCACACTGACAGCTGTAGGAGGACAGGAGAAGGGGACTGAAGGGGGCTAGAGTGGTTGTGCAGCTGGCATCCCAGCTGCCGACCAGTTCTTGGTTGGTTCCAGACTTTGCTACCCTTTGTCATATCAGTGCCTCTGAGGGCGCCAGAACCTGAGTGTGCCCCTTCTCGAGAGCCAGCGGTCTGGCCTGCAGGACAGGGAAGGAGACCTCATCCCTCAGTGGTGTGGATGAGATGGCAGCATCTGGGCCTGCCCAGGCCCTGAGGCCTCTCGGCTCAGCTGCTAACTCCCAGGGCTGGCCTGTCTAGCGCCTCTGAGGTGAGCAACAAACAGGAGGGAACCCCGTCTTCCCTACCATCAGCTTCCCAGGGAGCCACTCACTCCTGGAAGAGGCAGAGGGCTGGGCAGTGCTTGGGTCCGGGACAGGCATTGCCAAGTGGAGTGGAGCTTGGCCCAGCACTTGCCTGGCAGTCAAGGCCTGGGTTCCATCTCCAGCACCACAAAAACCACCAAAACCCTCAAGCCATGAGGGAAGGAGACAGAAGAGAGAAGTTGTGGCTGTCACAGGTGCCGAGCACTCAGGCTGGGCCAAGTATGGGTCAGGTGGTGGCACTGCTCAGGCTGGGTCACACTTGCACACACACGTACGCACAAGCATGCCCACGGCCAGCGGCACAGTCAGCCCTGTACTCCAACAGCACCGGGAGTTTCCTGAGCATCAGGAGGGAGGCAGCCAGGCAACACCATTAGCACCTCCAGACCGGCTCCTCTCTCCCAGGGCAGGAGGCTGCAAGGGGGAACGGACAGCTTTCTGACATGCTTCATTTTCCTTCTCGTCTTGTGTTCCCTCCCTGCGGACTCTTTCCTCAGCCTGGTCAGAGCCTGAGTGGTGGCTGATGCGCTGGGTTTCTATTCTGTAGGGTCGCTCTGCTCTGGAAACCCTCTGAGAGAACACCTAGGGTCTCCACCATGGTGTGTGGGGGGTGTGTGTGTGTGTGTGAGAGAGAGAGAGAGAGAGAGAGAGAGAGAGAGAGAGAGTGAATGAGTGATCCCTCAAGCAGAACAGCGTTCTGTGCACTCCTCTTGGGTTCACAGACTCGTGGGACCCAGTGAGCCCATCACATGGAATAGTACAGGCATCTTCTCCCCCTGAGCCTGATCTTTCTGATTTAAATGAAGAGTCAGTCAGCCCTGGATGTCCTAGAATAGGACACATGTGGAGGGACTGTGGGGAAACTGAAGAAGTGCAAGGTAGTTAAAAGAAAAATTAATTCACGGGCTGGAGTGGCTTATTGTTAAGTGCCTGCCTAGCGCACATGAGGCCCTGGGTTCCATTCCTAGCACTGAAAAAATAGATATGTATTCACATTTGCATACAAGGAAGCTCAGGTAGGCATTTTCCCACCAAATTGGACTGGTTTCTTGCCAACCAGGCCCTCTTGGATGGGACGGATGAGTCCCACATGTTTGAGATGCTCTGCAGGGTGGGCCAGGAGCACCCCTGACCTATAGCCAAGAATGGCAGATGGAGCAGTGTCCAATGCCTTTGCTCTCAAGCCTGGACAGCCTCTGACATGGGGTCTGGTGGGGTCACAGTGTTCTCCCATGGCCAGCAGGCCTGACAGCGTCCTCAGCCGGGTGCTCTTAGGCTCCTGCTACCCCAGTGACAGTCACCTGCTAAGACCCAGGGTCGCATCCTGGTAACCTTGCTTAAACTGAAGCTGGAAATACACATTTAGAGAAACTGCTCAATGTGAATAATCATCAAAAGGATGTGAACTGAAATAGCTGCAAGACGTGAGGGTTTTTCTGAGCCATAAAATGAGAACAGATGTTAAGATGAGGGCCCATGTGGCTGCGGGGACAGTGAAACAGTATGCTGTGTAGCTGGTGCTTGCGCCAGGGTAACCTGGCAATGCTGGGAGCCATCGTTTTGCACCTTTTGATTCACTGATTCCACGCATGGCAGCGACTCACCAATGTAGTGAAATATTTTATACAGTCCACCATAGCATTATTGTAAGGTGTCCACCTTAGCATTATAATAGGGGCAAAAAAATTAGAAACAATTTAAAGAACTTGCAGGGGCCTGGTTTAGAAAGTTCTTCTGATGGTATATCATAGAATCATTTAATGTGTTTATGAAAGGCTAATGATACTTTTTAAAAGGTGCTTAGATTGTTATGTGGGAAAAAAGCCAATACAAATTAAATATGGCATTAGCTCTTAATTCTGTTATACATTATGTAGAGAAGAAGAGAAAGATGCCAGGCGGGCATGGTGGCATAGCCTATAATTGCAGCTACTCTAGAGGCTGAGGGAAGGTCACAAGTTCAAAGCCAGCTTGGGCAAAATAGCAAGACCCTGTCTGAAAATAAAATACAAAGGGCTGGCTGGGCCAGCATTCTAGAAGGCTGAGGCATGAAGATTGCAAGTTCAAGCCCAATCTGCACAATTTAGCAAGATCTTACCTTAAAAAAAAAGTTAAATGGGCTGGGGATGCAGCTTAGTGCAAAGGCCCAGGGTTCAGTCCCTAGTAGTTCCCTCTTCCCTTGCAAAAAGTAAAGGACTGGGGTTGTAGCGCTCACCTCCCATGCACAAGACCCTGAGTTCAGTTCCCTTCCCCAAACGCCAACTATGGTTATCTTTGAGTGATGATGGTGGGAGTATACTTTTTATAATTAGCATCTAAGAGGAGAAAAAGTTTTATATAAAAAGGAGAATAAAAGGAGCTTCAGGCTCAAATAAAGGGGCAGTGAAGAGGACTCTTTCCCACAAGGCCAGTACAGTAGGCTTGGGGTTGGGAACCCGACCCTCATCCTCCTTCCCTGCTTCCCCAAGTTGTTACTGGATCTCCATGTGCTTCTTGGCCACTTAGCTCAGCTATAGCGCTCTGTGCCCAGAGAGGCTGCAGCTTGGTGCCTCCCTGCAGACGCCCCACCATAGCTGCTCCTCACGCTGCTTCTTCCTGGGAGGTCTGCTGGCCTGGCCCCAGCCAGGGCAGTCTGGGCCAAGCCTTAATGAAGGGGATGGGGCCAGGGTGGACCAGGGCAAGGACAGCCTGGTGGTCACCAGGACAAGCTTGGCTCCCTGGGCTCTGCCCACCCACACAGGAAGCCAGCCAGCAGGTCCCATTCCTGAGGAGGAGCGGGTAGTCTCCCTCTACCTTGGATGGACAGTGTGTCCCCGGCCCCTGCACTGTGCTCCTGGCCCCAGAAGCAGCCCTTCCACAGTCCTATCCCACCTTTACTTACAGAATCCGAATGTCGGGCATCAAAGGTCTGCAAGGAGTGGTGAGGAAGACGGTGAATGATGAGCTGCAGGCCAATATCTGGGACCCGCAGCACATGGACAAGATCGTCCCCTCGCTGCTTTTCAACCTGCAGCACGTGGAGGAGGCAGAGAGGTGAGCGAGCTGCACGGGAACAGCCCCAAGTCTGCTGCCAGCCCCTGGGGACCTCATGGCTTGGCCAGAAGACAAAACCCAGGACACGGCTAGGATCCAGACTGCCCTGAGTCAGAGCTGGCTCCTGGGGAACCTGGGGTCAGGCCTTCTTCTGGCTGCTGTCCCTCTCCGCCTCTGGGACAGTGGAGGGAGCACAGCGATAAAGTTGGCCTCCCTTGGGCAAGTGTCTATTCAGAACACAAAGGGCACATGAAGGACAAAGAGTTGAGTTCCCTTGTCTCTGGAAGCAGCAGGCCAAGGAGGTCTAAAGTATGTTTCAAGGCTCTAGTGAGGGCTTTCCCTTTGGACCTTCCGCCCTGACTTCCTGATTCTATTTCAGGCTTGCTTAGCTGGCTGTGCTACTGCACAGCTGTAGTCCCTAAACTGGATGGCAAGTTCAAACCCAAGGCAATTAGTGAGTTAGAGAGAGAGACCCTTCTTTTTTTTTATTTTAAAAATAAAAGGAGGAAAACATTAACAGACAGACAACCTTTTACAAAATAGCAAAAGAACAGTACAGACAATACAGAGTTACAAAGAAAGTGGTAGGAAATTAACAGTGCTTGTTGTATTACATATTGATATCTTCAAAGTGGTTTCTCATGAAAACAGATAGAGACATGCAATATTGATCAATCAAGGACTCATTAACAGTTTCAGCAAAGAAATAGAAGACAGTAGATCAACTATGTTAACTATCCTGTATATAGATACATACAAAATTTCTCCTTCTTTCCCTTCTCTTTTCCCACATAGAGAGACCCTTCTTAATGTAAAATACCTTTTAAAGGGGCTGGGGATGTAGCTCAGTGCAAAGACTCTGGGCTTGATCCCCAGTACCACAGACAAACAACACATGCCTGATCAGCCACACCCACTGCAAGAGTTGCCGATAAGTGGGTTTTCATGTGGGAACCCCGAAACTCCCTGACTCTTATTTTCCCTTTGTGCAGTGGGATGGAAGGGAAGGTTCATGTTGCTGTCCCACCTTGGCTGTATACCTGATGCTGGGTGCCCTAACGCATCTGTCAATGTCCAGCCACCTCCCAGCTGAGACTGGAAGGGGAAGCGGTGTGCCCCTTAGTGGCTGTTTCCAGAATCGCCACTCACTGACAAGCTCTCACTGCAGTTTCAGGAGGTCCTGGGGCCTGGAGTCCTGAGGTTTTCCAGTTAGTCAGTGTGAGGACTTGGGTACAGAAACACTCAGGGTCAGGTATACAGAAACACTCATGGTCAGTGCCTCACCTGGCTCATGGTGCTCAGAGGCACCTCCCACAGAAGTACATCAGGATTTCCAGTCTCCGCCAGTCTTCCTCCACTCTGGGCTTCCTTATGCTGTTTAATTTCTGATGGGCATGATGTCTCCCTGTTGCCTGGTGCAACCTGCATCAAGTTCCTGCTTGTCCTGACATCATCATTTGCGTGGAGGAAGCACAGAAACCCAGGGGTGCATGAAGCCTGACTCCCAGCATCCCATCCCCTTTTACCCGTGTGGCTCTGTTTCCACAGCCGGTCTCCCTCACCCCTCCAAGCACCAGAGAAGGAGAAGGAGAACCCGGCAGAGCTGGCAGAGAGGTGCCTGAGGGAGCTGCTGGGCCGGGCTGCCTTTGGCAATATCAAAAACGCCATCAAGCCTGTTCTCATGTGAGCTGAGTGTCCCTGCCCCTCTCAGCCCTCGGCCTTGGAATATTCCAAGCCTGGCATCTTCTGCCTGCTTGGGGAGGGGGAGGAGATGGCACTGTGGTGCCATGGCCAAGTCTGTCCCTTTTTGGTACCTGTGTTCCCTGCATTGTGATGGCAAAGTTATGCCCAGCGGCGCATGGGGAGCTGGTAGGAGGGTATCCAATGTGGAATGCAGGTGCCCAGCTTCATTCTCTGTGGCCGTGTGCAGCTCTGGGGCTGGGACTTCATCCCTTCCCTGTCACCACTACTTGTAAGCCCTGCCTCACTTTCCCGGGAACTGCCAGGGGCTCTCAGGAGTTCGTCTCTATCCCTCAAGCTGTCTGCTCCCTATCATCACCCCCTGATGTTTTCTGCCCCACAGCCATCTGGATAACCATTCCCTGTGGGAACCCAAGGTGTTCGCCATCCGCTGCTTCAAAATCATCATGTATTCAATTCAGGTAGGCTGGCCTCCCTCCTCCCGCTTGTCTTCCTTGGCAAGGTGCCTATGGAGGAGGACAGGCACTGAGGGAGAAAGCCAGATGTCTTCTGACCTCTCCTAACCCCTGCTGGTCTGCACCATGGTTGCCCAACCCAACTGCTGCAAAGGGCCAGTTCCGTTTTATATTTAGTACATCAAAGTAGATGTAATGGTTTTACAAAATATGATGAAAAAAGAGTCCTAGAAAAAATAAATGAAAAACTCACTCAAAATGCAAGTTTATGGATTGTGCACCTGGCTGCTGTGACAGTGTCACATTACGACTCTTTTACCATACCTATTTGATGTGAACAGTATCATATAGCTCTGAAATTGCCACTGGGTCAGGAGAAATGGAAAATATTTTTAAATGGACTTTGAAGTCTATTTAAAATGGGAAAATGTGCATGGCAGGTCTTCACTGATATCTGGCTGTCCTCGATGGTACAGGATGGAGGGCTGCAAGAAAGGGAATGTGGGGCTGGTGCCACCCAAGGTGTCCTGGGCCTTGGGACAGGCTACCTTACCCCAACCTGTGGGTCCCAGAAGAGGGCTGCCCGGGCTACTCGGGGGGTGCTGTTTGGGGACCAGCGTGTCTTCCTCCCCCCAGCCGCAGCACTCCCACCTGGTTATCCAGCAGCTCCTGAGCCACCTGGATGCCAACAGCCGCAGTGCGGCAACCGTGCGTGCGGGCATTGTGGAGGTCCTGTCGGAGGCAGCGGTCATCGCCGCCACCGGCTCTGTGGGTAAGGGCCCCGGAGTGAGGGAGGGAGGGAGGGCAGGCCGGACCCTGTGACAAGGAACTGCCTTGCAGAGGCTGCCTTGGCTCATGGTGAGAGGTGGCCCTGATTTCGGGTCTCCCATCCTGCTGGTCCTAGGGCCCACGGTCCTGGAGATGTTCAACACACTGCTGAGGCAGCTGCGGCTTAGCATTGACTACGCTCTGACAGGGAGCTACGATGGGGCCCTGAGCCTGGGCACCAAGATCATCAAGGAGCACGAGGAGCGCATGTTCCAGGAGGCAGTCATCAAGACCATCGGTGCGCAGGGTTGGGGCTCCGGGTGGTGGTGCTCCCTTGACACTGCAGTGGGTGGGGCCCTAGAGGGGTGGGGCCTGGGCCGGAGAGGGCCCAGGCTGGGAGACCAGGTTGCCAGGAGGCATCAGTTATAGTTACTGCGTCATTCAGGGATATTAGGGGATAAAGCCAACGATGCTATCTGTGGCCTGGCCCAGGCAGGCCCTGAGTGAGAACACAAAGCAGCCAGGATAGGTTTCTCAGCCTGGGCTTCTGGTCAAAAATAACTCTTCTGTGCCCTCCTTATGCCTATCTCATGCTTTGGGAACCAGAGGTGAGGTGGGGACTAAAGGGTGGGTGGAGGACACAGGGGAAATATGTGTGCACCTGGGTGTGGATGTGGAGCGCTCCAAAGCTGTCTCGGTCTAGCGTGGGTCCTTGCTTTAGTAAAAAGGAGAAAACTAAAGATCAGCACACACTGACAGGCCAAAGCTTTAATTGGAAGGTAAGAGAAGGTAGGGCAAAGGCTCCAGTTTGAGCAGTAGCTCTGGTGCAGGGCTGCAGACTGGCCTGTGCACCACAGGACAGAGGCCTGTTTTGTGGGCTGCTGCGGTGGACTTGAGTCCATCAGTCATTATGTCAGCCTTGATTTTGAAGCTCCAGGGAAACCTTCCTGGCTTGAGGAGTGGTTCTGTCCCCATGAGATGATGGGCTCTGTCTCGGCGGTCTGTCGGGTGAGGTTCTGCTTTTCCTGAGACACTGGTAACTGCTGGTTCAGGACAGTGACTGGAGACTTTTAGCCCTTCTCAATGGACAGTCTGAAATGCAGGGCTAGCAGCTGGGTGTCCTGGAATCCTCACGCTCACTCTTATCCTAGTACTGTGTTGAAGGTGGATGAGACAGGCTAGGTAAGCTTAGGGCCAGTTAACTCTGCTCTGCTGACAACTTTAAAATATTGAAATGCCAGAATCCCAAGTTTTAAGGTGAAGGATACAAACTGAAGGTAAAGCCTTGTCCTGCTTTTAGTTACCTGTTGTGCCTGTGTAGGCCCAAGAGTCAAGGGTTTTAGTAGAAACTACTGTTAAGTCTGCCTCAGAAGAAAACACAAATCATGGTTCTAATGAGTAACAGGTCAAGGGCCCAGGAGCTAATTTGACTCTGGTCCCTGTGGTGGTCTCTGACTTCATCAAAGTCATCCCACAGGTGTGTGAGGAACCCATCACCTCAGAGAGTTCCCCTGCCTGGGACCCGCTGAGCTTCCCTCCGATTTGAGAAGGCAGCAGGGCAGAATGATGTCATCAGGAGCTGTGTCAAGGCAGGACCTGCCCCAGGGAACCAGCCTGCAGCAGGCACTGGGCCCAGTGGGTACAGAGGCTCCTGCCTGTCCCGTGCCTATCGTCTCCATCCTCCTTCTTCAGTAAGGGGGCCAAGGCCTTAACCACAATGCTCAGGGACGTGACAAGCCAGGAGCCGAAAGCGAACTCTGGGCCCCTTCTTGAAGAGCCACTCACACCCGCACCCCCCTGGGCAGTTCTCTCTGTCCATGCAACTTGTTGAGCTACACCACTGAACCAGGAGCAGCCCCAAGGCTGTAGGCCTCACGGGGCCGTCACTCTGCCTTTCCCCTGCAGGCTCCTTTGCCAGCACGCTACCCACCTACCAGCGCTCCGAGGTGATCCTCTTCATCATGAGCAAGGTGCCGCTGCCCTCCTTGCACCATGCCGTGGACTCCGGAAGGGCAGGGTAAGCTTCCTTTCCATTCCCGCCTGTGTTTTCTGGCTCTCACTTCCTGAAGTGAAGGCACTGCCCTCTCTTCTCTCCTTTTACTCCTCAATTCCTTGGCAGCCATTGGGACCCTCAGATCCCACAGAACCCCCCTTCAGGGGAGCCATTAATTCCCTGGTGTGCTTCCTGTTCTGGAAGTCACTGTCCTGGGCGCTCAAGATCAGCCTCGTGGAGAGAACCGAGGGCAAGTGTGGGGTTTCTGCCCACATCTCCAGCCTAGTGAGTGTGTGTCTCTGGTCCACAGGGAGAACAGAAACCGGCTGACCCAGATTATGCTGCTGAAATCCCTCCTTCAGGTGAGTCAATCTTATTCCCATTCCTGCTTTGCCTCTGCAGGACATAGCTCTTTCCAAGGAACTAAAAGAAGGCCACCAGTTGTGCAAGTCCCACACTGCACAAATATGCCCAGCTAAAAGGATGAATGAGGGGCTGAAATCCACTAGCCAGGCTGGCTCCACCAAACTGGGGGTCAGCTGTTAGCCGAGTGAATACCTTTTCTAATTTTCACTAAGTTTTTTTTTATTGGCTACTAATAACCTGTCACTTAGGCAGGGTATGTCTTGAGATGGAATCTACTGATTCCTATCCTTTTCTCATACCCTTCCTAGGTCCTGTCTCCCCCTTGGCATTTATGCCTGTTGCATCTCCCAGCTGCCATCTTTTCCCTCTGCAGCAGTTTAGATGGCTTTCTCTTATTTTCCTTCTTTCTCTTCCTTCCTTCCTTCCTTCCTTCCTTCCTTCCTTCCTTCCTTCCTTCCTTCTTTCTTTCTTTCTAGTACTGAGGGTCAAATCCAGGGATTCTCTACCACTGAATTACACCCCCTTCCCTGACTGAGTGGCAGATTTATTTATTTATTATTTATTTATATTTTGAGACAGGGTCTTGCAGAGTTGCTAACTAGCCCAAGTAGAACCCAAACTTGTGATCCATCTGCCCCAGCCTACCTCAGTGCTGGGATACGGGAGTGTTCTACCATCCCCAGCCTGTCTGCCTCAATCTGGTCTTCTCAAACATTGTTTCCCATGGCCAGCAAGACTCCCCAGAGACTGAGCATGGGGCTTTTGTGATGTGCCCCTCGGGCCCCGTGCCCAGCCCCAGCCCCAGCTCTGGGTGTCTCACAGCTAGATGAATCTCATAGTTGCTCTTTCCTCCATCTCTTTTTAGCTATTAAATGCAGCCACAGGGAGGTTTTCTAGCGATGCTGTTCCCAGGTGTTGCCCCAGGTCACAGTAGAGCACAGCTTACGGTGCATGACTTGGAGCAGTGGAGGCTCCCTGTACCCTTTTCCTCCCCACCCATCTCAGTCGCAGCCATGCCACCCTGGGCAGACCCCTAAGCCCATACAGACCTTCCTTTCCCTTTCACCAGCCTCTACCCTACGTGTTACTGTATTTTACAAAGCTCTCACACGGCCCACATGGAGGAATAAAGTCACCTCCTTACATCTTCACATCCCTGCCATTGCATGCTGAGTTTAGCCTCACTCATTTGTGCTTGGCACCACATGGAGGTGACAGTTTGAGGTTCACTCCCATACCTCCCCCTTCAGTGAACACGGATATTCGCTATGGATGCTCTGGCTGGGCTAGACCCTTAGGCCCTCCGAATCATCCTCGGCATTGTCCCACTGTGTGGGCTCAACAGGAAAGATGCCCTGCTGCTGTCATATGCTTTGACATCCTATGCAATGTGTCTGTGTATGCCAGCTGACTTTAGTCAGAGGTCCTCATTGTCACCGTGCTAGGAGAGACCTAATCAGAGGCGGTGGGTGTGTTCCCTGGGGAGGTTGTTGTGAGGTCTGATGCTTCAGCCTGGCCGCACAAGTTCTCCTGCTCTCTGGTTCTCGTAACTGCCCGCACTTGCTGAAGCACTGCCCCTTTGGCGGCTCCATTGTCCCCTGCCTGGCTGCAACATTGGGTTCAGGAGTTCCCTGGCTCTTACTCCCCTCTGCGGCTCATCTCTTGCTTGCTTTTAACACTCAGTGTGCCTGCACTCTATCCTCATCCATGCTCCTGCCTACCGAGCCGTGCCAAGTAGCTTGTCTAGGTGGTTATTGGAGTGTCCCAAAAAGGTGTGTGTGGCATCCAGAGCCTGAGAGGGAGGGAATGGATGGACGCTTGCTCAGACCCAACTTCTGTGGCTATTTCTCCATCTTCTGGCTACATCCAAGAAGGACATGTTCCTAAGCTCACCTGTGCTGGGCTCTCTGCAGGTATCCACAGGTTTCCAGTGCAGCAACATGATGTCAGCCCTGCCCAGCAACTTTCTAGACCGCCTTCTCTCCACCGCTCTCATGGAGGATGCGGAAATCCGCCTCTTTGTTCTAGAGATTCTCATCAGTTTCATTGATCGCCATGGCAACCGCCACAAGTTCTCTACCATCAGGTGAACGTGGGGTCTTGCCTGTACTTGCATGATGGGGAAGAAGCCTCCCAGAAGGGCTTGTCTTTTTGGCCGGTAACCTCACACCCAGGTGGAAGGATGGTTTGTATATTCAGGGTGATCCCCAACACTGACCTTGGAATCCCGCACGGGGAAGAGACTGAAGGACAAGGATGGCTGGGGACCGGCACAGAATGGAGGTTTGAGAGATGAAAGGAAGTGCTAAGGAGAGTTTTCGGGTTGGAGGAAGGAGTGTCGTGTTATCAGTGGAGACTGAGAGAATTGGGGGTCATAAATGGAAGAAGAGAAAAATCAGGCTCAAAGATTGGAGAGAAAGGAACAGGAGCTTGAGAGTGTGGGAGAAAATGGGGGCTAAGAACCATGGCCGGGAGCATGCAGGAGGCTTTGGTGCCAGCTTACAGCTTCGGGGTTAAAGCCCAGTGACACCATGTAAGCTCAGGATGGGCTCTCCCAGGGACTAAGGGTCCCTTTCATCCCCTTCTAGTACCCTCAGTGACATCTCGGTCCTGAAGCTAAAAGTGGACAAGTGCTCCCGACAGGACACCGTCTTCATGAAGAAGGTAGCCAGTGAGTCCCAAGCAGGCCAAGCCAATGGGTCCAACCTTCCTGTCTCTGACTCACTGCTGACCACTGTCCCCAGGGTCTGCCCTTCTCTCTGCAATGTGTGGTCTGTTAATTAGCACCCCATCCCCGCACCTCAGGCGTGGAGCCCATAGTGATCCTCACTGCTGGGGCCAAAGCACCGCTGCTGCGCCAGTCCCTGCCACTGATCACATGCTGCTCCTACAGCTGGGTTTGGGCAGCTTTGGTTGCTGGTGTTGCTGGGGCCCATCCATCCCTAACAGCACATTCCCATATGGATTCCCTTCCACTGGGGTCTGCTTTGAAGACATCCACTCCCACCCCACCCACTGTGGCTGTCCTCTGCCCCTGCGCCCATCCACAGCACTCGCAGCAGCTGTACAGGCACATCTACCTGAGCTGCAAGGAGGAGACCAACATCCAGAAACACTACGAGGCTCTCTACGGCCTGCTGGCTCTCATCAGCATTGAGCTGGCCAACGAGGAGGTGGTGGTGGACCTCATCCGCCTGGTGCTGGCCGTTCAGGTGGGCCTGGGATGGGCAGAACCCAGGGACCAGGATCCTGGACAGGGCCTGTCCTGGCCAAGTACTGGTAAAAGTATGAAGTAACAGCTGTTTAGCAGTTGTTCCAGAGCCTAGCAACACTGTACTCTTAGTTGACCATCCCTCTGTGAAGATCCCCATGCTCTTGTCTGGGGGACCTTAGAGAGTGCTTAATTCTTGGCCGTGGTTCATTTTCAAGTTAAAGACCTAGGTAACAGGATCATTCAGAAATACCCCTGAGTTCCTACAATTTCAAGTCTGAGTGAGATTCCAAGGATTCCTAAGAGGGTATCCCTAAGTCCTGAGTGATTCCAAAACAAACTTGTCTAAAGACTCTCTGGTTCTCAAATGTCGGTGTACTGTACAGTTGCCTTACGCATGTGTTAATAATACCATGCATATTCTCAGAACTGCTAAGTGAGTCTCAAGCGGGGGACCATGTATATTTAACAAAGCCTCCTGCGGGATACATAGCTGCTAGCGTGGTGCTAGGCAGGGCCTGAGATTTTTAAGGTCTGCCTGGGTGAAGTATCATCCTGGGAGTTGGGAGGGGTCCTTAGATCTGTCAGGCTGAGGCCTCCAGGTCTGAAGCCAGATGGGCTCCCTACCCTAGAAGGGTGGCGAGGCTGGGAATTCAGCAAGGGCGGGTCTTGGACAACCTGCTTGACAGTGCTAAATTCTCCAGGGCCTACCTAGACATGATAATTTTCTTAATTCTATTTACCCTGAAGAAGTGGAACTTGGATTCTTTTGTGGCACAGTCCCCTAAGGACTCTCATAGCTTTCTCTGTTGGGAATCCAGTTTAGCAGGCTGCCCACCCAGCCCAGTCCTCTGAGAATCAGCTGTACCGTAAGACGCCACATCCTGGCACTGGAATTACAGAGGTTTGGGCAAGAATGGTTGCTGCAGCTATAGCTACCTTGTGGGAGTCTAGGGCATTGCCTCTGACTCGGTATTTAAGACCCCCAGCACGTGGATTGTTCAGTTTCCTTCCGCGCTAATGAAGATGACTATGTCTCCCAGGAAGTTACGGGGCAAATACTCGGGACTGAGCAGAGATGAGTCCTCTCTAAAGAAGCTGGGAAGGATGGGCGGAGGGTGGGGGCTCCAGTGTACTTGATGGGCGGAGGGTGGGGGCTCCAGTGTACTTTGTTGCTGAAAAACTCTAACAGCCCATCTGTGTTGCCACAGGACGTGGCCCAGGTCAACGAAGAGAACTTACCCGTGTACAACCGCTGTGCCCTGTACGCCCTGGGCGCAGCCTACCTGAACCTCATCAGCCAGCTCACCACAGTGCCCGCCTTCTGCCAGCACATCCATGAGGTCGGTGTCCTTGTGAGCCTGAGTGCTGGGGGCCCTGGGCTGAGGGTGCTCCTGGGAGCTACTTCTCCCTAACTGCAGTGCGCTCTGCTTGGTCACAGTGCTGAAGAAAGGGTTGAACTCAGAACTAATAATAATGAGAAGTTACGTGGGGCGGCGTTTCCCCCACCTGACAGCAGAGCAGGCCAGGGCTGGCACAGGAGAGTCCTATACCTGCTTCCAGCCCCACCCGCAGAAGCACGCATCCCTCAGAGTATGCACACCAAAGCCACTTCGTGAGGGGTTTTGCCATAAAAGTTCTCACACACCTCAAAAGCAGCATGAGTAGAATAGTAGAATAGTGAACAGCATGAATAGAATAGAATTAGCTGTCATGCAGATGAAATACTGAGATTTCCCTGTGTTGACTTCGTCTATCTCCTTTTTTTCCTTTGCTAAAATGGTTTTAAATAAATCACAGCTCTCTGCCTTTGCACATTGCATATATCAGTGTGCATGGCTCACAACAAAACACAAGCACCTCCTTCTTTGACTGTCGTGCTATTCACATGTTAAAAAGAGCTGGGGATGTAGCTCAGTATGAAGCCCATGGGTTTAAACCCCAGCACCACAGGAAAAAAAAAAAAAAAAAAAGACAAAGAAAAAAAAGAAAATCCCTTAGTATCTCTAATACCCAGTTTGTAGTCAGTTTAAAACCTGCTGAAGTATTTGTAGGTATAATGATACGATGCTAGGGTTGACTTTAAATGCACTACCCATACAGAGTGAAAACAGAAGAAACCACAGGTCTCAGCTGGCCTGGGCTGGCTGAGGTGTGGGTGTGGCCATGCCAGGGACCTCGCCCAGGGAGCTGGATCCGCTCAGTCTCTGGCTAACAAGGGAGGGCAGGAAGGGCAGTGCCCAGACATACTCTTCATTGGAAGTGACTGGATCCCAGAGGTGGGACTAGTGAGGATCCAGGCAGTGCCACCTCACCCACACACCTGCATGCCCGGACACTGAGGAAGGCTCGAGAGGTCATTGTCTAGCAGGATGTTACTACAAGATGCAAGTTTGAGACATGGTGTAGCCTAAGTTCTCTTTTACTTCAGTAGAAAGCACAGGAATAGGGCACAAGAGCCACAATCCAAGTCCCCTAAGAACGAAGCACCCTTAATGCATGTGTGTTGCTTATGATACAGCTTGAGCAGGCTACGTGGGCCTCTTGCACTGCTCTGAGTCTTGCAGGGGACCTGTGTCTCTCACTGGAGAAGCCTAGCTGTGGCACGCTCTCCAAAGGGCTTTTGGGAGCAGGGAAATGCGGGACTGCATGGTGGCAATTTCTGTCTCTGTCCTGAGCTCCCTGGGTCTGCCAGGCCCCACTCTCGTCATTGGATTCCTCCCAAACTCCAGGTGATAGAGACCAGGAAGAAGGAGGCTCCATACATGCTCCCTGAGGACGTGTTTGTGGAGAGGCCCAGGTGAGACATATCGGGATGTGGCTGAGGGTGGCTGAGGACTGCCAAGGCTGCTGGGCAGGAGGTGGGCAGTCTGAGGCCAGGACAGGCTACACACCCAGAGGCTCAGGCCTCTGCACAATCCAGGCAGAGAAGCCCCTGCCTGTGGCCATTGAGTTACCATCATCCACGCTCGAGTGAGTAATGAAGAGCCAGGCTGGGGTGTTGTGCTGTAGAGATGCAAGTCTGGGAACGTTGGCCAAGCACTGGCCAGAACACACTTCTTCAGCACAGAGGAGCTCATGGGAAAGATGTGTTGAAAAAAACAAGGTGTCCAACAGGAAGGCCCAGCTTTATAAGTTATGGCTCATCTGTGCAATAAAATAACATAAATAATATTAGTGATGTTTTGGGAGAGTATTTCGTGTGCAGTATTCTCTGTTTGTTTTTTGTTTGTTTGTTGTTTTTTGTCTTTTCTTCCGGTACCAGGAATCAAACTCACAACCTTGCGCTTGCCAGGCAGGCGCTTTGCCACTGAGCTAAATCCCCAGCCCCCAGTATTCTCTGTATAGTAGGTAATACAGATCACAGAAGAGCAGTGGGGGAAGGGACATAAATGTGTGTGACTGAAGGGTTCTGCACAAATGTAAATGGTGATCATCTGTGGAAATGGGACCGTGGGTGGTTTTTGTCTTTAGTTTGTCATTTTCCATAATGAATATGTTACTTTTATAATAAAGAATGCTGTCAGGGTAGTTACCCACAGTTGTACCTCTCCTCTTCTCTCCTTTGTTGTCCAGACTGTCGCAAAATCTTGATGGTGTGGTGATTGAGTTCCTCTTCCGCCAGAGCAAGATCAGTGAAGTCCTGGGAGGCAGTGGCTACAATTCAGACCGGCTCTGCCTGCCCTACATCCCTCAACTTACAGGTATGACCTCTGTGCAAGGGCTCCCGTGCCTGCCTCGGTCTTTTCTTAGCCAGGTAAGGGCCTAAATGTAAGCACTCCAGGGCCCTTTGACTGCCTCCTATGGCATCTTAGGTGTTGCACAAGTATCAAAAGAAAAGACACTGGAATTTATGGTGACATGCTGGTTTCCCCAGCTCTCTATGGATGGAGCAGTACCTTGTGCTAAAGAGAACATGCATGGGCTACAGAACTAGAAACCCAGTTCAAGACCTTGGTGCAGCTCACTGCCTGAAACTCTTGGGCAAGTCACTGGGCACCCCTGAATTTCCATTTCCTCAACTGCAGAATACTTGCCTCAGAGGGCTGGTGTGAGAGATCCGCAAAATAACAAAGGCAAAGGCACTTTGGAAATGCCATGCAACGATGGCTGTTGTTGCTGTTTGCAGATGATGCTACATAAGTTGAAATATGCTTTCTGGTCATAAGTAGCTTCTTGGTTCTCACCAATGATGCAAAATACCAAACCAACCACCCTAAGATGGGTGGAGAAGGCCCAAGCCATTGGAAGCTTGAAGCCTATTGTCTACCAAGTCAGGGAAGATTGTGTAGCAAGCAAAGGCCATGGGAAGATGGACCAGGACCTGACTCTAGTTCTCTAAGGGCTGGGACTCCAGTTTCTGGGTTCTTCTTTTCCAGATGAGGATCGCTTATCCAAGAGGAAGAGCATTGGAGAGACCATTTCCCTGCAAGTGGAGGTGGAATCCAGGAACAGCCCAGAGAAGGAGGAGGTAAATGTCCTTGTTATTGTCCTGCTGAAGCTTCCAGAAGCCTGATGCTCCACACCCTCTTAAAGGCACAGTGCATTGAAGGTTACATGGAAGTTAGTTTCTCAAGTGAAATGTTTTCCTGCTACTGTCACCATATATGTATCACTAGTATCCATCTGGAAGTGTTAGTTATTAACGTCTTGCCCTACTCCCATGAGAATGTCAGAAAAATTACTGTGGAAAAGTTTGCTGGTCACCATTCCCTGCCCTCAGTGGGTCAGTGTGCACCATGTTGGAAGTCAGAAGGCTTAGCAGGAGAGATGTGTTCATAATATTTCTTCCAGGTATAACAGTAATGTTTTTCTAAATTAAGACTTAATTTCTTTAAAGCAGTTTTAACTTCACAGAGGAATTGAGAGGAGGATGCAGAGATTTCCCGTACCTTCCCAGCCCCTTCCACACATAACCAGCATCTCCACTATCAGTATCCACACCAGAGGGGTACATATGCCATTATCAAGGAGCCTACGTGGGCACACTATTGTCCCTCAAAGGCCACTGTTTATATTGGAGTTCATGCTTGCTGTTGCACATTCTATGGATTTGGTCATGTACCCACCACTAGAGTGTCATGCAGAGTATTTTCACAACCCTGAAAATGCCCTGTGCACATCTGTTCATCCTTTACTGCTACCAACCCCTGATAACCAAGATTCTTTTAAAAGAGAAAGCCACAGCTGTGCCTTAAAGATCCCTCTTCCTTCCACCCTTCCTTACAGTCCATGAATATCTAATTTCTGTGCAAATTAACATGTGATATCTGCCATTATTTCACTTCTCTACCTCAACAAATAAAGCACATGTACCCAAGAGTCTAAGAAAGCACAGTGGAAATACCATAGTTGCTGCCCTAAGTGAGAAAGAAAAGGGGGTGCAGAGAGGAGAGGGAAAGCAGTCATGAGGTGCTGATCGCACCTTTTCTTTATGATTACTGCCCCAGAGGGTCGGGGATCAACAGAGCAGAGGGTGAGGCTGGGGCAGCAAGGCCTGCATGGCCTTGGGCTCAGGGACCCCGGCATTCCCAGGTTCTTACACCCATTAGGGCTGATACAACCTGGAGTACAGCTCTGCTGGCGAGTCTTTCCCCAGATGTGATCAGAGGACAGAGAATCTTTGGGGGTCAGGATCAAGCCTCGTTCCAACCAGGCCCTTGACCACTTCATTTATTGGAGCAGACCCCCAGCTGGATGGCAGGGAGCTCTGGCTTGGGCTAATTGGACAAGTGAGGTGAAGAGGTGGAACTGGGGCCCTCTGGGGAGCTCCCAGCTGTCAGAGACTAGGAAGCTGCCTTGCATCAGGCCTCAGGGGGAGCTGGCTGCTGTTTCCCTGCAGAGGTGATTCTCCTGGCCTGAGCGTTAAGAGAGAGACCCTCAGAACTGATGAGTTAAGGAAAGCTGAAAGAAGAGGAGAAATGCTTACCTGGATACAGGCAGAGCCACCAAGCCACTAGTGGCCTCTTGGGCCCCCATATCAGCTCCTTCCATCTGGGGAGCTCATTCAGGGGTGGCAACCTCTGCCCCGCATCCCCTCCTGACACACAACACTGCTACCTTCAGCCCATTGTGTCCTGGTCCAGAATCCTGCAGTGTTCCCTATGGCCATCACTGTGGGTGTTTAATCAGTGCTGGTTTGGTCAAATCCAGTCCTAAGAATCAGAGGCAGTTATGGTGTGGCCTGATCCTATCATATCATTTTATCCCAGCGCCACCCAGCACAGGTCCACCTTCCTCCTCAGGAGGGACCACTCCCACTCTGCCCACGCTGTCCTCAGCCACCCCGTGTTTGCGAGTGCAGAGGCCACATGAGATCTTCACTTGCTCTTTTGATTTGTGAGCTGCCGTCCTCCACTGCCCAGCTCAAGTTCCATTTCCGCTATACGCTTCTCTCTCCTGCTCTTGCCCAGTGACCATCACACCGTACAGCTCCCTCACACCTCGCACATGAGTATCTGACGTTGGCTAGTGCTGCCCGTGCCTGAATGGATGAATCCTCAGTGCAGAGTAGGGCTTGGCGCAGCAGTTCCTCTGTTCACAGATTTCCTGAGTCCTATCGCTGAGAGTCCTGAAAATGTGTTCCTTGCCCCAAGGCCCCTGCCTCTGCACTCTTGTTCCCAACCGAGCCACCAGCCTGACTTGCGTCCCTTCCTAAACTCTTGTTAGTGAAATCATTTTCTTCTGTGTCTGCTTCTTTCCCTGTTATGTTTAAGGGATGGAGTGTGAACCAATCATGAGTTTAGTGGGAATTCCTGAAACTCAGTCCACATCGTCCAGCATCTGACCTCAGATCGTGTGTCCTCAGCGTCCCTTTCTGTGGTTTGCAGTGCTTCCCACCCTTCCACAGGCTCTGAGAGGACTGAGATCCTGTGGCCCAACTCCTTGCACTGACCTCAGCAATGGAAGGCCTGGCAGTGCTCATCATGCATTTCTTAGCTTCAGTAAATCCTCAGATCACCTCAGCAGTAAATTAATAACTCTTACTGCAGTTGCAGTTCTTGCAGTTGATGTCATATTTGCTAGCTGCCTCTTCTTGTTCCCAGTAGTTTATATTGATGAGCTCTGGTGATTTTTTAAAGGTTACATGGTATTCTGCTCCCAAGGGGCTTGCTGTGACAGGCTCAGTAGGGGACAGAGGCAGTGAGTTCTCTTGGGTGAGTCTTGGGGCTCCCTTCTTAGGCCACACCCACAAGGAGTCAGCCTGCCCGCCTGTACCTGGCTGGCCTCCTCCATGCTACTCAGGGCAGGTGGGAGACCTGGAGAGAGGCCCATTAGGACATCTTCCGAGAAGCTCTGGCTGCCTCTCCTCCACCTCTGAGCTTGTCTATCCCCTCCCCACAGCGCGTGCCAGCTGAGGAGATCACCTATGAGACACTGAAGAAGGCCATTGGTGAGTGCCCCAGGGACTCTGGTGAGAGGGGAGGGCTCCAGATCTGCCTCTCTTCCTGGTGTGCCTCAGCCAGGGGCCTGGAGCAAAGGCCTTGGCTTCCTACAGAGTCAGTGTGGCCACCAAAGCTGCAGCTGAACCCCCGCCCTCCTGATGGTGGTCACTCGTGTCGCCCTGTGTACCCCCATCAGGAGGCCCTATTCCTATGGATGGCAGCTGCCTCTAAAAGTAATCAACTGAGGCCAATGGCCAGATGGCCAGATGAAACAGAATTTTGTATAAATATTTTGACACTGTATTTTGGTGGAATATGATACAAAAGAACAAGTCAACCCATGAAAGATATTAAGAGCAAATCATTAGCATTTATTTAATAAGGGCAAAAGACTTTAAAATGCAGAGTTACCTTATTTATCTGGATAATTGCACAATGATGTATTTTCATTAAGAAAGTTTTTCTGATGACAATGTCCCTTTAGTTTAATGTACTTTTAATTAAGCCTTTTAAGTTTTTTCTAATTGTGAGTGGTGCACTTTCCAACTATACCTACTGCTTACCTTTTTTTTTTTTTTCTTTTTGTACTGGGGATTGAACCCAGGGCCTCCCAGAGTGTTGAGATGACAGGCATGTGCCACCATGCCTGGCTTGCTTGTCTTCTGAAATTGAACATGGCAAGCATACCTGCCCCCCGCCAATACCCACACTTTTTTTTGGAAGGTGTTGTCTCATTTCGGATACCAAGTGGCACATGTAAAGCCTTAAGCAAAATGGCCGCAGACTGTTCCACCCTGGTGGCCGTGTTGACGTTCCTGGTATCTGGCTTTTTTCATTGTTGATGTCCCTTTCAAATTACCCTCAGTACTAAAGGAACCAACTGTTCCAGGACTTTCTGTTTAAAAGTCCTAGCAGCACCTCTGCTGCTTAGCACTTTAAAAGCCCAGCTGATTCTCAAACTCAGTACAAAGCCTCAGGCAGAACCAAGAGGAGGTCCCCCCTCTCTGGGACACCACTGTCCCTTACCCTTAGCAGGGAACAGAACACTGTGAAGACATCACCCACCTTCCTACCTCCTTGAGTCCCTCCCTGCTGTCCTCAGTGGGGAGGACCTGAGTGCTCACCCAGCCCTCGGTGTCCCTGTCACAGTGGACAGTGTGGCGGTGGAGGAGCAGGAGCGCGAGCGGCGGCGACAGGTGGTGGAGAAATTCCAGAAGGCACCGTTTGAGGAGATCGCGGCCCACTGTGGGGCCCGGGTGAGTGGAGCATCACAGGCCAAGCCAGACAGACCAGATCTGGGCCCAGGGCAGGTCTGAATTTAGAAGACCTTTCTGGCTTATTGTCCTTTAGAAATTAGGACTCAGCATCCAGGACAGAGATCTCTGTTGTCCCAACGTCCTACGTTGTTCCCTGTGAACCCAAAGCCTTGTGTGTTCATCCTACATTCTTCAGACCACACAATTTTCACAGATGAAAGACGTCCTGACCTCAGGAGCCCTAGTACCGGACTGTCTGGTCAAATTCATTCTAATCATGATAGGAAGTATGGAAGCAGCACTCAACGTCACTCGGGCGCCTTTCATTTATCAGCTTACTTTATCCTCATAACTTGGGGAGGTGGGTGCTATTATGCACCCATTACAGCACAGTGGGAGAAGGACAAGTGGCGGAGGAGAGATGGGCAGCACTTATAGCAGGACCCTTTTCCGGCGGGGGACGCTGGCTGGGCTTCAGAAGAGACATCTGTGAGTGAGGGAGCCAGACACATGGGGATGGCCACGCAGGGCTGACCATGCAGGGCTGACCTTGACACTGACTATAAGCCAGAATTCATTAGCCGCTGTGTCAGCCTGCTTAGTAACAGTGTGATGTGACCACAGCATTCCAAGTCTGCAAATAATATTTGATGTCAGTGCAAATACATGCCATTATATGTTTACTTTTTTGTTGTTTTCTTGGAGACAGGGTCTTGTTATGTAATTCAGGCTGGCCTCAGACTCATGACAACCCTCGTGCCTCAGCCTCTTGAGTGCTGGGATTACAGGTGTGCACCACCACACCCAACTTTTATATGTACTTACATAATCATATATTTTATATGTGTATAAAAAATAGACTTTCCTAGCCTATAGTATCCTAATTTCTTCACCCCACGTTGAGAGGTAGACTCAACATATTTCTTGAGCAAGGAGTTGAAGCCCACTCACTGGACACATGTGAGCCGAGGAAAGAGCCAGCACTAGCGTAGTCCCGTGAGCCTGAGCCCAGAATTGAGGGGCAAAGGTCTTAAACTCTGGAATTGCTTGCCTAAGTCTCGCCTGGTTTTCCTGGGTCTCCACCCAGCCTTTGACAGATGGCTGTCCCTGACCTGAATCCACAGTCAGGGTCCAGCAGACAAATGCTGGGACAAGTTCATACCTGGTAACTTCCTGTGGCTGCCACTGCCTGGCACTGCCAGTGTCCCCTGGACAAGTGCCCTGTGAGTCCACCTGTGGGGTCCCCGGGGAACCCCAACTCACTGCCCCTCTCTTTGTGTCTAGGCATCACTGCTGCAGAGCAGACTCAACCAGATCTTTGAAATCACCATCCGGTGAGTAGCAGCCCCGGGCAGGAGACCCCCACCTCCCCAGGCTGGGGTCAGCAGCCAGCTCTCCTGGACAAGGAAAATGGTGATCAAGGAGGGGAAAAGCCACCTCACTGTGGCCTGGAAGGAGCCAGGGGTCCTCATATCCCAGGCTGGTGCTTCATTCTAAAGCAGCTGCGTCCTGGTACAGCCGGCAGGGAACTTAGACTGAGCTGTGTGTAAATTATTGGAGTAACCTAAAAATCTGGGAGCCTGAGGGGTGACCAGGTCTCCAGTGCCAGGCAAAGAGAAACCCACATCAGCTGCTGTGTTTAGTTGCACAGGGTTGGGACCCCAGAATTCCCACCTCATGGGTTTCTTCTCCATGTTTCCCTAGGCCCCCGCCAAGCCCATCGGGAACCATCACCGCCGCCTACGGCCAACCACAAAACCACTCCATACCCGTCTACGAGATGAAGTTTCCTGACCTGTGTGTATATTGAACTCCTGGAGGTGAAACTTCTCGCAGGGATGGGGTCTGAGGGAAGGGCTGACCCTCATGCCCACCCCTGCCTCTGAAAATCCAGCTGGGATCTCTGACAGTTGCCTCCTCCCCAGCTAAGTAAAGGTGAAGCCTCCAGGCCCCTCCGGAACTTCATGGCCCTCCCGCCTCTGCCTCACCTTCCCTGAGAAGACCCAGCCACCTGCCCCTCGGGGGCCACGAGCATCTCACCTGTGCCCTTCTTCTCTTTTGTCAGCCAGGGACAGAGAATCATGGGGTTTCTCTAGAGAGAAGGGGTGGGGGAAGCTCTGCCTGTGTGGTGGGTCAGGGGCTTCCACTGAGCTGCATCTCGGGGCACATCTGGCATCCTCGGAGGGAGCCAGCTGGAGGCTTGGTTGGTCCAAGGAGGAGCCAAGGCAGGCTCCCTGGGAAAGGAGAGCTGAGAGCTGGAGATGCTGCTGTTCTCCTCCCGAGCAGTCCCCACCTCACCCACTCGAGCCTTAGGAGTCTCTTCTGCTCTAGCTGGCCCCCCAGTTGTCTGCTCTTTCTGTCTGCTGTTACTGAACCTTGAGCCCCTTGTAGTTGGAACTGGGGGTGAAGACAAGCCAGGTGGGGCCATGAAGGTGAATGAAGGCAAGCAGGCCTGGGGGTGGAAAGGGGCTGGTTCTGCCTCCAGTCATGGGCACAGGTGGGACAAGTTGTGTCCCTCTGTAGCGTCTCTCCTTCGTTCAGAGGGGACTTGTGGGTGGTTCTCTGTCTTCTGAATGTTTCTCTGAGTTAGTTGGGTTCTCTCTCTGTTGTTTTTCTTCCAAGGACCCTAAGGAGTTTCTACAACCTCTGGGTTGAGGGGAGGCAGAAAAAAGATAGTGTAGTTCAGGATGGCAAACCTTGTGGAGCTTTCAGTTGTAGCAAACAGCCACCTATGGCACACATGTCATAGGTTTCCCACCACTGTTTTAGTTCTAGAAGACTCAAAGGGGGAGGCAGTGCAGGGGCCCTGAGGTCTGTCCACGGTGCCTCCAAGGACCACGCTCCCACCTGGGCTGGGGAAGCAAGGCGAGGGAGGAGTCAGGCAAGTGGCCCTTTGGGGCTCAGAAGCCAACCTTTTGGATATTCCAGTTGAGGAAAGGGGCTAGCGCCTACTGTTCAAGTGATTTCTTCATGCTCTGGAAAAGTGGGGCACTGGATGCCACCTGGCCTAGCTTAAAACCTGGGGAGAAACCATGGAAACCCCTTTAGGTTCTGGGCTTCTGTTTCCCCTGAGTGCCACCTGCCTGTCCCTGAGTGCAGCAAACTCAGAGCGCAGGGTATGAAAAAGCCCACTTGCTGCTCTCTCCACAGTTCCCTTTTCTGACCTTCCTCTGAGTGCCTTTGGGTATCCTGGTGCCTCTGGAAGCAGCAGCCCCCTGTAGTCCAGAGGAGCCCTTTATTTTCTTTCCAAACTGTCTATAACTTTCCTGAGCTGAAGTAGCTCACAGTGAGGTATGAATGGTCAGATATTCCTTCTGAGGAGAACTTGCTTTTAAAAGGGGGGAGGATGGGTAGATTTCTTGACCCACAGGAACCCCTTTTTAGGCAGTATGGCAAGGGGTCAGAAGGAGGCTATTTCTGCTCAGGGCTGGCAGGCTTCTCAGGACACCCTCAGGTCACATCCCTGCAGTGACAGACCGACCATCAGGGCAGATGAGTACATGCTCCAAAATTGACACAGCCCTGACACACTGCACTGCGGTGAATGTTGGGGGAGGGGCCGCCAGAGCCTTCCTCCTTGGAGCTGTGTAGTTCCCACACTTCGAGGCATCTCTTCCCCGGGGTCACTGCCCCAGCGCTGTGGGCGTGTGGCTTGTGCATGGCCTGCATGATCACAGGCCTGGGCTGGGGGTAGGCTTCTGCTCCCCAAGGCTTTGGGGCCATATTTTGTGGCTTTTGTGTAACTTATGCTCAACCCAACTCCACAAGCATGAATTTAGATTTCTCTCTAATATCTCATTATTAAGAAACCGAGTTTGAAATAACTTTAAACAAACTTAAAAGCAAATAACCTCTAGAAAAAAAAACTAAAGAAATTTAACACTGGAGCCACAAACGTCTTCCCTCACCAGATCGTTCCATCTCTTATCCCGTGCTTGGCTAACATAGGGGACTCTGTGTCTTCCTTGTACCCGGGTGGCATTAAAGTTCTTCCCGGTGGCACATTCACCCTGAGTCCTTCACCCTGAGCACTGCCCTGAACCAAGGGGCCCGGTTCTGGGACTCAAGATTCATTTCCTGGAATCATTTTCTTTTTAAAGGCAGCTTTAGAATCAGAGACCTGAAGGTTTGCTCAAACTTCTTGGTCTCTCACCCACTCCTGCAAAGTGAGAGAAGAAAAGGCTGTGAGCTTCCTATTCTGCGCAGACTGACTGCGGCTCCCTCTCTGTCTAGCCAAGGCAGCTTTTTCTACACCATGGCTACTTAGCAAAGATGTGCTGCTTTTGGAGAACCAACTGTGTCTTGCACGTTCTCATCTCAGTTTCAGTTTAAATTTGCACTCAGTAGACTCTTGGGTTGCCTGCTGACGTGGAGTAGACTGCATTCTGGTCAGCTATGCCTCAGAATCAGGAAGTTTAATGTGAGCATCACCTTGGACAGAATTAAATGGCGAATGCAGTAATGCCTGTCCACCCATCCCAAGGCCCGAGGAAAGGCAGAGTGGAGTTCAGTAGGACCTAGAGGGAGGAGCTTGTGCCCGTGTCCCTGGCCTAGTGTCTCTGCAGCCTGCCTTCCAGGCCCTCTGGATACACTTTCGTGCCCTATTTTTTTGCCCTTTCTTCTGTGAGCTTGAGCCAGGAGGAGCCAGCCAGCCCACTGAGACCAGCTGCCTGCAAAAGCTACCAGGGACTCTGGCTTTGTGGGCAAGGGGCAGGGAAGTCAGCATCCTGCTGATAGAACTTAATAGAGATTGAATGTACTTGAGAGTTGGAAATTCTTTTAATTTGGTTGGGTCATAAAAGGGCATGAGAAGCAGTGGAAAGCATCCCTGTAGTCTGAGGGACACCGTCTGCTTTCCTCACACTGGGGTCTCAGTGCCCTGAGCCTGTTCCCAGTTTCCTCTCTGGTGAGTAGGGTAAGTGGTTTCCTCACCCCTAAATAGCCTCCTCAGCAGAGGCAGAGCCTATGCAGAAAAATCCTCAATACTCCCCTCTGTCCAGCCTCCCCCCGTACCCAGATACAAACGGATGAGCAGGGCAAAGTGGGGCCTGGGACCAATGAATGTACTCAGAGCAGCGCGGCATGGTGTCATGTATGTGCTGCCTTTGGCCCTGGTTGTGTCAGAACAGCCTTTAGGTTTCTTTAAATGTCAGAACAGCCGTTAGGTTTCTTTAAATGCAGACCTCTGGGCTGCAGAGGGGCAGAGCTGGTCTTGCCTTTCAGTTGTCATTCCATTGTCCCCAGGCCTTCTGACTGACTTGAGGTGCAAGGCTGTTTTTCCCAGTTCTTCCTGGTGACCACAGAATGTCAGCTGGCTGGCTTAGGGGTCTGTTGAGAAGGGCAAGATCTGGGCTGTTAGGCTGAGTGTTGTGTTTAAAGGCAGCCAGAAGTCATCTTACCAGGGCAGCCCACACCTGCTTCCTGTGATCTTGGCCCTGGCAGGCAGGTTCATCCCATTAGCCCTAGAAGTCTTCTGGTTACTGTGACCCTATACCCCAAATCAGACGTAGGTCAGAAGACTGCAGAAGGAGGGTCATAGTGGGCCCTGTCCTTGAGCCTGGATAGCTGAGACGTTGTGAGGAGCCACAGGGACAGGAGCACAGGCTCTGTGGCTGGAGGCAGTTTCTGAGCTCTCCTGGGACATCAGCCTGGCTGACCAGGTCTTCATACTCCAGGGGACCCAGGGCCTCCTGAGCCTACCACCTTCCCCTTTAGCTCTTCCTTGACTTGATTCTGGCGTATGAAGTACAGACTTGTAGGTCCATATATGCTGCAGCCCGTACACAGTAATGTGTCTATGTCCGTGTAGCCCTTCATGACCTGGCCGAGTGTGTGTATGTACCTGTGTGTGTGCACGTGTGTAACATAGTCCATAGTTGGCAGTATCTGTATATAATACCTGACATTTATATGTGAGTGCACAATTAGTGCCCTGGCAGTTTTCTGTATTTTAAACTTGTTGCATCAAATTAGTTTTATTTTAGGGAATAGGGGGAAGAGGAGTGGGAGTGTAGGAAGACGGACTTTAGCAAGATCATTCTTTTAGGACTATTAGTTGTAGTTTCCCAGTAAGCCTTCATGATGCCCTTTTCAAATAAAAGTTAATGTTGTCACTACATGCCTGTCTATTTGATTTCTTTAAAGTAAATGTTTTTTCCAGATAAAAACAGAATCTGAAAATACCAACAGTGTACTGCTCACATTTAGTCACCCCACTGACCCTGACTATACCCACCTCAAAAAGGAGGTAGGGAAGGGTGCTACCCAGCTGGAAACCCAGGATTCCCAGCATGGGGGTGTCCTCAGGAGGGCCAGGGCCATTCTTCATTCTACATCATTTCCCATAACCCACATTGGCTTATGGGAATCTGGCCGCCTGACTCCCTTCACATCAGGCCTTCCCAGGATCCATTCCGCATTTTCTTTCATTGTGAACTCCCAGGCTTCAAAATACAGGGTATATGTATAAACACCATGTACTGTACTGTTTCCCTGCCAGCTTTGATGTGTGCTGTCCGCTAGTGTGTCTAACACAAGTGACAGACGTGTATATCTGTAGGTATCTGGGAATAGCTTGTGAACAAACTGTGTGGCTGCAAACCTGTGGCCCCAACATTGTGAAAACACCACAGGGAGACAAAAAGAAACAACACAGTTTCTGTTGTGCAGAGCTTGGAGCGTCCCTGAGAGGACAGAACAAGAGAAGTACACAGCAAGTGACTTGTCATCTAAGCCCGACAGCATGTTGTCCAGCGTGGAGGGCGCTGGCTGCAGAAACAAAATGAGTAGGGCAGCTGGAGAGATCACAACTTGCCCAAAGGAAGTGGAATTGAGCCCGGGCTCATACTGAAAGCAGGGAACATTGAGAATGGTGGCGGGGGTTGCGGGGAGGCAGAGGGTTCCAGCCAGCGAAGAAAAATGGGAGAGGAACTGAGTAGACTGTAGGCTTGAAGCACAGCCTTCTGGGAAACAGGCTTGATAAGGAGGTAAGCCTAGCTGCCAAGGTCCTATGTGCCATGCCATTTGGACCTGATGGAAAATTGGAGAGTGAAGTTACTATGTTCGCTCTGAGCGACGAAATGTACAAAAGCCAAATTTTTTTTTCCTGGTATTGAGGATTGAATCCAGTACCTCACACATGCTAGGCAAGTGCTCTGCTGCAGACCTGCTGTATCCCTCTTTTTTAAACCTTTCAGACAGGGTCTCACTAAGTTACCCAGGCTGGACTCAAACTTTCTATCCTCCTGCCTCGTCCTCCTTTGTAACAGAGATCACAACAGATTTTGTATTAATAGAAATTCGTGTGCACTGGTTGGAGAAGAGAACTGGAGACCAGCTGGTTAGAATGCGGCTACCATCAAGGCCTGAGCAGGGAGGAATGAGCGGGAAGGGGAGGGATGATGCTAGGCAACACGGGGAGGGCAGAGGTGGGATGCACCAAAGGCAGAAACAGCACCTCAGAGCTTGAGCCTGAGAGACTGCAAGAGGAATCTGTGTGTGTATAGTGTTATGTTTACACAGACAAGTATGTTTCCACAACATGTATGTAAGCGGGTGAGCTCACGTGTTTGAGGAAATCTGTGAAGAGCCAAAGTGGAACTGAACTGTCAGCTCTGACACTCAGCTTCTCAGTGATAAAGATGATCACAACCATTTTGTCCTGTAGCCCTCATAACCCTCATGCTAGGAAGGAAGGGGTAAAGGAAAAAACAATCTTGGAGAACTTCAGGGACTTGAGCCTGGATAGCAAAGCGCACGGTCAAAACTCAGATCCAGGGAGTCATAACCACAGCTTCTGCTTCCACAGCCCAGAGAACCTCCCTGGGGTGGGTCTGCCCGCCTGGCTCCCTGGGGCAAACGTGTAACAGTACTAAGGGCAGAAAATGGAGTCATCCCAGGAGCGCTGGCAAGGCCACCTCAGACCACCCTGAGGACCCACATACTGGGCGGGCTGGGGGCGTGGAGGGGCACGTTCCTCCTGCTCTATCTCCTTCTGAGATACGCTACACCACTTGGCCAAACGGAAACCGTTACGTTCCCTTCCACTAGACCTGGTCTTCGACAGCTGTGTATTTGCATTTCGTTCGCGGTCTACATTCAAGTCAGAGTCGGCTGCGAAATTTGACAGGCTTTATTTCCTAACTACAGGCAGCTTCAGTGACCAGAAGGCGATGGAGGGCTGGCGGGCAGGGGCTGCGGGCGGACTGCCTCTCGGGCGGGCGGGCGGGCAGGCCCGGGCCCGCGCCTCACTGGCCCTTCTTGTGGGCGTTCTTGATGATGGCGTTCTTGAACAGCGTCACCAGCGGCGTCTGGCTCTTCTCCGAGCTCATGAAGCCGCCGTAGCGCTTGTCCTTGCGCGGCGTGCCCCAGCGGAAGTGCTCCATGCGATAGGGCCCGTCGTCCTTCTTCTCGGCCGCGGCCGCCTCGCCGAGCTCCAGCTCGTCGGGGCCGGGCGCCGCCGCGGGCCGCTCCCCGGCCAGCTCCCTCTTGAACTCGAGCGGAAAGGCCTCGGCCGACTCGTCCTCCGCGCCGTTCGGGTACACCTTCACCGGGCGCCGCTTCTTGCCCACCGGCTTGCCCCAGCGGAAGTGCTCCATGGAGTAGGAGCGCTTGCCCTCGTGAGGGCCCGGCTCGGCGCCATCGCCGCGGAACTCAGGATCGCCAGCGGGCAGCGGGACGCGGCCTTCGCCCGCCGCAACCTCCTCTTCGCGCTTCCGGCTCGCACCGCCGCCGCCGCTGCTGTTCCGGCGGCCGAAGCGGTCCCAGCGGAAGTGGCCCATGACGTACTTCCGGGGGTTCTCTGTCAGCGGTTGCTCGTCGCCGTTCCCCGGAAACACAGGCGTCTCGGCCGAGAGGTCGGGTTTGCAGGCCCGGATGCACTCCTGGGGGAGAGCGCCAGCCGTAAGGAAGAGCAGCCCTCGGGTCGCCGCCCCTCTCTACCCCGCACAGCCCTCCCCACCTGCGATGTCTTGTCTCACCTCGACGCCAGCCTGCCCAGTATGTGGGCCCACCGATGTCATGTCATCTCTGTCTCACTTGCGGTTATCCCCCTGCATCCCTCTGGTGACTACCGCAATTACGCCTTCCCACTCCATGGTTCGCTCGTCTGTCCTTACCCGCCTTTGGGGAGCAGGATCTTACCATTATATGCCTGATATATAGGAAATGGTCCCAAAAGGGCAGTTGAGTGGTAGTTAATGACTTAATGACTACTGAGCACATCGATATGGTCCCGAAGAGTGATGCGGCTGAAATTTAGGGGAGAATCTGGGTAATAGAAGTCTGGCTTCGAGGGCTGTATTTTTCAACAGTGCTTCAATCTTACTCTGCTGCAAACTTACGCCATGCTTTATCCCAGCCCTGTCTCTGCACCATGTCTCAAAAACTTTCCTGTACCCACTGGAACCTTTTTCCTGATTCTTTTGAGTCTTTCTAGCTAATCTTATACTTTCCCCCAGGCAGTGAACTTTGGGACGATTATTCATGTCCCTTCACCTCATTGAGACAGATGCAAAACCGGAGTTTTTTTCATTGTACATGCCATGGAGCCTGTGTCTCTGGTCCCTGAGCCTAGAAGATTCAATTGTGGTAATACTGTATTTGCCTAGGAAAGTGATCCATAGGCTGCAGTTCAGTTACTTGGGAACCACAGAGGAGAAAACAGAAGGCTGCCACCACTATTGAGCTGGGAGTTTTCTAGTGCACATATTTAGAATTATTGAAACTGCAAAATGTTAACAGTAGAAAATTAAAACTATCTAGTTTAGACTTCCCTCCCCTGAACAGATAATGAGACAAGAGGCTCAAGGAGATAAAAGAGCCTTGTCAAGGCCCCCCTCGACTCACTGGTGACAGAAGTGGAACTAGAACCCATGGGCTCTGACTTGTCCAACGCTCCTTCCATGGTGAGCTCTCAGCAAGAGAGGCTGTGCAGTGAGTGTCTCAACTTAAAAGTCTCTTGGGTCTATCTACAGAATTCAATAAAATTCCCTGGGCTCTTTTATTCTTTTTTATATGATACATGAAAACAGCTCCATGTCTTTGAGGAACTCTCTTCCTTTACTTTAACTCAGTTTCTCTGTTTCCAAAACACTCAAGATATAGTGTGGGCATTTCACCCTCCCTTGGCAGACCCTAGGCATGCGTACACACACGCGCGTGCGCGCGCACACACACACACACACACACACACACACACACACACACGCAGTGTCTGAAGGGAGCACCAGCCCAGCACACTTCTGGAAAGACTGCAGAAAAGCTTGTCGGAAGGTCATTACTCCAGGAAAAGCATTAGATATTTGTCACCAGTACCAAAAGCTGGTACCTTGGTCTTTCCTCCTTCTTCTAAAGATGTTCATGGATATACCTAGCTGTTTTTGTAACTGGTAGTAGATAAAAGAAAATATATGGAATTAAAATAGTAAGTGATATGAGGCTATTTAAAGATGAATGATTTGCACTTCGGAGGCTGAGGCAGGAGAATCATTGTGAATTTGAGACCAGCCTGGGCTACAAAGTGAGCTCAAGGGCCACCTGAACTGCATAGAGAAACCCTGTCTCAAAAAGACAAAAAAAATTATTTGGGGGCTAAAAGATTAAAGACATAGGATCAGTTGATGGAGCAGTTGTTGTCATGGTGCTATCTCTAAATTTGGTAAGTAGTGTGGGATCTCCCTAGAAGACAGGGCAGGGAGCAAGGCTAGTAATCAGAAGCTGTGGACTAGATCATTCTCCATGAAGCTGCTGTTTTTCCTCCCTCTCTTTGCCTCCACCCCCACTCTCTCTCTCTCTCTCTCTCTCTCCCCCATTTTCCCCCTCTCTCTCCTTGAGACAGGGCCTCATTTCATAGTCCAGGCTGGCTTTGAACTCACTGTGTAGCCCAGGCTGACCTCAAACTCTCCGTGATCCTCTTGTCTCAGCCTCCCAAGTGCTGGGATTACAGAAGTGCAACACCACACCCAGCCTTTGCTTCCCCTCATTGGCCCAATTTTGACTTCACAGCAGAGTTCTGCTTGTGCCCTGGGTTGTGTCACCCCCAGTTAATGGAAATTAATTTCCTCTTACCTGCTCCCCTTTCTTTTGAGCTATCCCAGCCCCAGTCCCACCTGATGCCCAAACCAGGGCAGCCCACGTACCAGCAGGTTTCTTTCTGTGGTGAGGTCCTGACACTGGCTGCTTTCCAGGCACCAGCCGCACACTTCCATGGAGGCCTGAAGTAGCAAGGCCAGCAGCAGGGCCCCAGAGCAGCTGTAGCACAATCTCGGCATCTTCCAGGTGGCAGGCTGAGGCTCTGCAGAGGCAAACAAGATTGGTGGGACCCCTGCAAGGAGTAGAACAATGTTGGATATGCACCAGGAAGGACTGCAAGCCAACAGCAACAATGCTTGCTTATGGAGTCCAAGGCTTTTTGAGGTCAGGAGCAGCGCTGAGAAGATGAGAGATGTGCAAGGTGGAGCTGTGGGGAGGAGAGGAATGGGACCTGAGAAAACTATGACCATTTTCCCTTATCTCTGTTAAAACCAGACCCCTAAAGAGGCTAGAAGTGGAAGCTATTTGGGGGAAATTGCATGATCCAGCCATTCATTTGAGAGATGGAGAATCTGAAGCCCACAAGAAACAACTACGTTTATATTCAAAACACAGTAAGACTAAATTCTGCTTTCAGCACAGAGCTTTCTTATTTCACTGCCTCCATGAGGCTGTGGTCCTAACACTGCAGTTCTAAGAGGTGAGAATAACTTGAGAAAGACAAAGGACTCCAAAATTCCTGCTCGATATGGTCATTTCCCCTCTTCGTCTGCCAGCATCATTCCTCTGAAACACCATTTCCCATGAATATTAGAACTGCATAAAGGTGCTTAAAACTCCAGGCCCATTTGTCAAAGCTTCAAACAATCTGATGTCCTGTGCAGTCTCTTGGGTGATCACAATTGCCTAGACTGTAGTAATTTGGAAGAGGCTTAGCTTTAAAGCCAATTCGCTTAAAACTACCTCCTTCTGGACACTATATATTAGACCTCTTCTTCCCTGAGTCTCTCCCTTATATTCTGAAATAGGTGGGCTTAAAGAGGATGTAGGTGTTGAGGGGGAAACATGTACAGTCAGATGGGAAGGGAGTTAACCTCCAGTGTGAATGGCCATAGGAGATACTATGGAAAAATCCAGGGAGTCACTTTTGGGAAGATGCAGAGATCAAGAGGTTAGGAGGAAATAAGAGAGGAGCATCCAGGGTCCCTTTGGCTCCTGGTGCCCAGCCGTGTCCCCAACACTGCTAGATCTTGTGTTGCTATGTCCTCCTCACCCAGATGGACCCAGAAGCCATGCCATCGTCTGTAATCAGCTCACCACTGACTGCAGTCATTTTGGATTTCAGAAGATCTTTTCCACCCACTGTTAGAAAGAGATCTAATTAGATGAGAAAAGTATTCATAACTAAGGTGTGGATGACTTAAGTGTCTTGTCATTCCTAATGAACATTTACACTTTAAAATCAATTTGCCTAAAAGAAATCTCAGAGGGCAAGGGAAGTAAAAAGGATCAGGAAACCATATGTATATGTACCAATTATACAAATGTAACTAATTTACAAAGAAGTCAGGAAAAATCTCTCCTCTGGAGAGATGTGGGCCAGATCTTTCTTAGAGAGGGTGGATTTGAACATGAAAAAGTCCTCCATGCCCTCACTGTCCACTTCAGAAAACCAGTCCCTCTCTCTGCCACACCCTCCCCATTCCCCAAGAGCTGGTCCACCTGGGGCTCTTTTGTGAAAGCGGCCCGGCTTGGGCTGAGCATTTTCGCAGCAGCCATTAGATGGCGCTGGCAGCCAGAGAGCTCGCCCAGCAACCCCTCTGCTAAGGGGACACCTGAAAAAGCTTTGGTCAGCGAATGTTGCTGTTCCTCCTGACCGAGGACGGGCTCCTCCGGGTGTAGCTTGTGACTGCTCCAGTTCAGGCAGGCAACCTGAACTTGGTGAACAAGCCGATTAGATCCAAGCGCTGAATCAAGCAGCACATACAGGTCAGAATTAGATCCAGTCAACAGGAGAAGCAGGAAAATGGTAGATAATATAGCATATTAGTAGAGAAAAACCATACAGATCCAACAGTCTACTCAACTCTGCGTGTGTGTGTGTGTGTGTGTGTGTGTGTGTGTGTGTGTGTGTGATTGAGCCCAGGGCCTTCACACTGAGCTACATCCCCAGAGCTTTTTAATTTTTAAGTTTGAGACAAGGTCTCAGTCACTCAGTTGCTCAGGCTGGGCTTGAACTTGCAGTTCTCCTGCCTCACCCTCCCAGAGTGCAGAGGTGATGCTACCACACTCAGCCCCTCAACTGTATTTTAATTCTCAAAGCTGGCCATTCTGGAATGACTTCCATTTTCTAAAGGCCTCATCATGATTTCAGGTTTTTCCTGAAAAGCCCTCAGAGAGTATTTCCTCTCCTTCTGCCACGCTGGCCATGTTGTACAACATAGTAATATTCTTATCCCCACCCCTAGCACCTAGTCTATTTGTAAAAAGTTAGATGGTTTCATGAAAGCAACTTGCCTTGTTTGTTTTGTGTATTTTCCATCCTCTTTTGTTTTTTTGAGACCGTGTCTCACTGTATAGCTCAGGCTGCCCCTGAACTCACTGCGTAACCTAGGCTGGCCTCAAACTTGCAGAGGTCCTCCCACCTTAGCCTCCTGAATGCTGGAATTACAGGCGTGCACCTCCCTGCTTGGCTTTTCCATCTTTCTATAATAAATATTATCTCATGTGTGTCTTTTTTGGAGAGAGAGAGAGACAGAGAGAGGGTCTTTCTATGTGATTCAGGCTGGTCCTAAACTTACTATGTAGCCCAGACTGGCCTTCAACTCCTGGTGATCATCCTGCCTCAGCCTCCAAAGTGCTGGAATTATAGGCGTGCACTGTCACACCCAGCCCTTGTTTATGCCATTTTTTAAAGGCCATGGAGTAGTGAGGGAGATGCCACATGTACTTTTTTTTGTAAGTAGAGAGTATAATAATCCAATAATTGAAAGCCCTGGAAAATAGAAATTTACAATTTATTAATCTTGACATTAACTTTATAATAGAACTACACTAATTAGGACTTCATATGGGTGGGTCTCTTAACTAAATAAGATGTTATTGCAAAACTGCATCGACTGTGCCCTTCTGTAAAGATTAGAGGAGCAGAGATGCAGCTTTATCCTTGCACAGTAATGGACATTCGTCAAGCTCTATAACAAAAGTGTCAAAGAAATATAAAGCCATTCAGTGAGCTCTGATCTCTGCATACCATAAATTGGTGAAACAAATGCACACACTTATTTCCCTTGGCTCCTTCCAGCCATTCTGTGAAAACCATCCCTGCCCCGGTTATACATGAAGAGTTTGGAGAATCCAGACCCTCCTAGATTGGCCCACCAACGTTGGAAACGTCCCCTCCACTAGTGTCCGATAGTTCGAAGAGCTGCAGCCCAGGGTGGGATGAACCCACCCTGCGGCCCCTTCCGAAGCATCCTACACTAGACGCGGTGGTTCACGGTTTCAGGACCGCGGACAGCTCCCGCCGGTCACCTGTCTTTAACCCCACCTAACTCTTGGAGAGGAGGGACTCAGCTGTCTTCTAGTTGACCCCAGAGTGGGGTAATCATCGTAGAGCATCGGCCTCGGTGCTAAAGGCGGGCAGGGAAATGAGGATTCAGGGGTCTAAATTTTTAAAGTCTGTAATGCAACGAGTTAATTGTGACAGCCTTTTCTTTCCCGCCCCATTTTCAGTATTACTTAGCACCACAGTATATGGTATCTTACTTTGAAGAACTGACATAGATCCAGAAAATAGGAAAAGAGAGAAATCTCAGGAACCTCTCCTAAGACCTCCCCAGAGGGCGTGGGAAGTCTCCAGGGGTCCTAGCTCCCCCTCCCCTGGTTTCCCCACCCGAGCGCCAGGACCCTCCATGGCCAGGAAGCCTCCATCCCCGGGAGCGAAGCCTGCAGCTTTGCAGCCGTTCGCCCACCGTCCAGCCTCTGTGCTCAGGGTTCAGTCAGCCCAGGGAGTTTACAAAGAACTCCGGCCTGCTGCACTCAGTCCTCTTTCGGGACTGGTGGGGCACCGCGAGGCCGGGCAGGTGGTCTGGGGAAGAGCGCGGGTCCGCCCTGCTGCGCCCTTACCTGTCCTGGGGCTGCTGCTGTCTGGGGAGCAGGACGCTCGCGGCCTCTGTTGTCCCTTCTCTTTCCCACGCGCTCCTCCTTCGCAGCCGCTGGTCTCTGTCGCTCTCCAGGGTCCTTATATACCTACAGGACTGGTCGTGACCTTCCTGGCAGCGCTTCTGCTGCGCAAAAGCAACTCCGTGGCCAAGGGAAGGGGGGCCGTGGGCACGGGAGGGGGCTTCCAGGTAGGGGCTGCGCGCAAGCAGGCGTCCTGGACAGCGGAGGCTGGCATTAGCACTGTCCTGCTGAAGGGCGCACCTGGCAGCTGCTGGTCAGGAAGAACTTAATTAAAGATGGTGTTTTGTGTCCACTTAGGTCGGATAGAGGCTTAGCATCCCGGTGTGGGGCAGGCGTAGCGCGCCTCTGAGGTTGTTGAGGAGAGAATGACATTACCTGTGTGCGTGCTGGAGCTGCCACCTGCCTGTCTGGCATTTGGAGGTAAATATCACCCCAAAGGGGGTGCATTTCTTATGTTTCTGATTTGTCCAATGTTTTAAAATGGTGATATCATGAGGAATCGCGTCTCTCTCTCTCTTTGTTCAACTTTTGGGGAGGAGGGAAGGAGCAGAGGTAAAGAATCACTCTCCTGGGTCCCGGGACAGGTTGCTTCTTAGGGTGGGAGGTGAATTGCACTGCCCCCAGCCTGCTCCCTCAGGCTTGCCCAGAGTAGACTCCTTCCTATGACCTGAACTCCAAGCAAAATGTCCTGTGAATCCTGGGCCATTAACTGGAAGGGGTGGCACTCTGTGAAGAACAGCTGAAGTCCTCTTCCTGTGACCTTTGATCCCTCCCTGTGGCCATGAACTGGCAGAATGGTCTGGAGGCCTTCCATCTTCCTTGGACACCTGGCCTTACCCTGGACTCTGGCTTGACACTAGGCTCAAACGTCAGGACAGGGAACAGAGAACAGCACTGAAACCCAGACAGGGAGAATCTACTGAACCTGGATGAAGAAGCAAAACCACACTGTAAGGAGTTGCGGGCGTGGTGGCACACACCTATAATCCCAGCACTTGGGAAACTGAGGCAGGAGGATTGCAGCCCTTTGCTGTTTTTTCAGTGTCAAACCTACTGTGCCTTCCTAGGTTAACCCCTGTTTGATTACATGTGTTGTCTTTCTGTGGCACTGAAAGAACTTTGCTAATATTTTATTTCAGACTTTTTGCTTCTACATTCATGAGATTAGCCTGTAATTTTCCTTACTTGTGGAATTCCTGCCAGATTTTGGTATCACAATTATGCTGTCCTCATTAAGCAAGTTGGAAATCCCTGCCTGCATTTTTCAAAGGCAGCTGAATTTGTGTACAGTGATATGACTTCTTCCTTACATGTTTGAGATTATACATCGGTGATGCCATCTGGATATTTAGGTTGCTTGGTGAACAGTTTTTAATTGTAGATTCAATGTCATAAATAGCACAATTCTTATTGTCTATTTCCCCTTGTGTCAATTAAAATACATATTTCTAGGAATTTGTTAATTTCGTCAAACTTTAATTTATTGGCTCAAAATTATATCTTCTTAGCATCTAAGGAATCTGTAGTTATGGTTCTTTCTCACTTCTGATAGTGGTAATTTATATCTTCTCTTTTAAAATTAGTTTTCTTAGTGGTTTATCAATTTTAGTAGTCTTTTATAAGAATCAGATTTTCTAAGAATTTTATAAG